ATTTTAAGACTCCTTACTATGCTTGTTATATGTGTGAAATTTGGTAAAATTCGGTCCAGTAATAAGCGAGATAGCCTCCAGGTGTAGCACCCCCCCCCCTTAAAAGAGAATTTGCACCTTTCAGTGGTTGTGGGAAACGTTCTCCACTTTCAATTTGTTTAAATATCATGGGCCCTAACTCAAAAACAACTTGAACGTGTATTATCAATATCAGAGTTCGGTTCACACATTGCAGACAATTTTTTTTATATGATTGTAAATGACAATGAAAGCCTTGTTGCCACAGAAGTTGCACCTTTTAGTGTCTTTGTGAAAAATTCTGCACAAAACCATAGACCTTAACTCAACCACAACTTGAACGTGTATTATAATCAAAGAGTTAGGTTCACACTGACATTACAGACATAAAGAGACCACCCACGAGGTCCAGAGCATTATGAATTTCTTTCTTCCCTGTCCAGGATCGAGTGGCAGGAACAAGGACGTATTTTTGAGCCCTTAAGTTTCTTGGAGGCGAAGTCTGTTTAGTTTCAGTATTACATCTTTTCCAATCAGAGTCGCCAGGTCGAATAGAATCATATTGGGTTGTGGTGTATGTGATCCTTGTTCAAGCAGTTTATACCCGCACACTCTTGTACTTTTTGGGTTGTTTTCTTGTTTCCTAACTGATTGGGTTATCTCCGAGATGAACGTATGATTTGACAAGCCTTCTCGAAAATATTCTGACTGCGCTAATTCCCGTAACGTAATATCACACAACATGACATATTAATGTGCCGGTACAAGTAAATGGAACTGTACAGTGAAGCTATATCCTACTAGATCTACGTTATTCACAGACAAATGACACCAGATTCTCTAGAGGTCGTTACATTTTTTGGGGCTTCATCGGAATATCCGCATGCACATACCAAAGATGGCTTTTCTCGAGATTCGCTGCTTCGTTGAAACGTTAGATAAAACCCACAACGTCGCTTTCTAGTTAAACTATAAAGGCGGAAGAACTGAACACTATTCATGTTCGTGAAATAAAGACTCCAGCTTATTCCAAGGAAATCAGCTTATTGTGTCTACAAATTATGCAGCTAACCTCGCAGAAATGGTTTCTTTGAATGTCTTTCTTCTTGGAAGCTAGTTTCTACCCATGAAGTCGCCGTGAAGAGATGACAAAACCCCAAAAGAATATTAATCTAAGATAAAAGAATGATATAAAGAACAACATGAGTGGTTCTTTAATTAAAAACGACTGCGTTTAATCGAATGGCAAACAAGTCTGCTTGCAATGAGATACCTGACAGCACAAAAAACCCCTCTCAAACTTGCGTGAGATTCGGCTGAGGTGGGATTAAAAAAGGAGAGAAAGACACACACACACACACACACACACACACACA